GTTGGTCCAGTAAAAGATTTACCTCACCAACCATATCTCTGCCTAGTGACATGCACAGTACCTACTTGGCATGGGGAGGATCTGTTGTCTTCTAACTCTGCTGTCTCAAGTTAAATAATTCACTACTGAAGACAGTGCCAAAACCAACAGTAATGTCACTACTTTAGCCAGTCAAGGCTATCGGACATTGTTATTTTAATATCTGATGCCATGGTTGGATGCACAACCATAACTTTGTCACTTCCTAACTTCTGTCTTAAGCCATGCAGTCTAGATCCATGCAAAACACTGTTTGTATGTCTTCCTGTGTCCTCTTCACACTAGCCCTACATAAACACTATTACATGCCTCTGGTTCTAGCCCTACAGAAGAGTTTCCTCCTGGATGAAATGAAGTCTGAGGCATTTCAGCCTCAATGAAACAGTAGTATAAGAACATTATGAGGGAGGGAAACTGGGGCTTTACAATGTACTGGCTTTCCCAATTGATTGGTGAGTTAATTGATTGGTAATTAATTACTGGTGCAGTGGTTACAATGATGTTCCCTCTGGCAGAATAACGAGGAAATCAGACACCAGAGATTCCCCAAGAAGCTAATTATCTCCAACTTTGTTAAAAGAGAATGATAATTCCATTCAAAAATAGCATCTATGCATATTTTTCTTCTTTTGGAAGCTTGGAAACCAGTTAATTTTCAGGAAAAATCTTATGGAGTCGTTCCTGGAATACTTATGCAAAGGAGGTAGATCAAATGAAAGAACAAGGTATAGGCAAATTGTGAAAGACAAGTTCATTACTATTGAGCATAATGGCAATGTTAGTTGATTCTGAATCTAGTCAACAACTTTCCAAAGTTGCAACATACATACTGTCTTCTATTCTATGTTTAGCAGTGCTCCCTCTATCTAGCACTTGATTTTCCACAGTCTCGGTAAGCCTCTGAGTCACTTATCCTTTTTAAATCTCATTGTACACCCTTTCCTTTTCTACCAGCTTAAAATTTATTATTGGCAGTCTCAATAAAGCACAGTTACTAGAGATGAGGGAATCATTTTAAAGAAAATAAGAAGCCCTCCCCCCACTTTAACTGTTGCCTATTTCTAGAACTGGACTTGACTTGAACTGAATAACTTTTTGAAGCTTCTAAAATCTCAGATTAACTCCCTCTTGCCTGCTCATTATTTTTCATTTGCCAAAGCAGGAAGCACCAGAAATCTTGTGAGACAGCCAGTCTAGGCAAGATTTCCAGCTAAAAGGTTGCAGATGTGCAAGGCTCAGAGTTGGGGTAAGCATCTGAACATGTCATTTTCTCCTCAGTCCCCAATTAGTTCATATAATAAGGCTTTTTCACTATTTCTAATGTAAATCCACCTCAAAAAAAGATGGAAGGAGAAATAAAGACAAAGTAATTTTCATAGAATTATAGAACTGGAAGGTACCTTGATAAGTCATCATGTCTAGACACCTGCCCTCCCAGCAGGACCAGGCACTGTCTAGATCACTCCTGACAGATGTCTGTCTAACCTGCTCTTAAAAATCTCCAATGATGGAGATTCCACAACCTCCTTAGGCAACTTATTCCAGCCATCCCAGCAATTAAGAAGTTTTTCCTAATGTTCAACCTAAACTTCCCTTGCTGCAACTTAAGCCCATCTCTATCATCAGAGATTAAGGAGAAAAAATGTTCTCTCTCTTCCTTGTAGCATACTTTTTGGTACTTAAAAGCTGCTACTGTCCCCTCTTAGTCTTCTCTTTTCCAGACTAAACAAACCCAGTTCTTTCAATTGTTCCTTATAGGTCATGCTTTCTAGACCTTTAATCATTTCTATCTTTAGAGTTTGCCTTTGGACACATTTTATGTAGATAGAGGATAGTGGGAATAGCATCCCCAATTGTCATGACTTTTACTGTGAGTCTTGCAATATTTGGTGTGTTTCTTACAGCCTCAGCTCTTGGAGGCATGTGATTACACTAGCATCTCCATGTTCATTAAAAATGGACATCTGAAGTCATCAGGATGGTGGAGAAAAGCTAGAAATTGTAAGACCCCAAACCACAAAAAACAAAAACACCCAAGAAAGAAAGTAAAAGGAATCCCCTGTCTGTTATTTTGTAAAGACTCATGAATTGTAAACCAATCTCCTGATTTTGCGGGGCTTGCCTCATGATTTTAGAGAGCTTGGTTTGGCAATACTTTGGGAAGGAGAGGGAAATCTCCTGGCTACCTTTTTAAGGCAAAGGATTTCTTTCCTTCCATTGCATGGAAGGTACCATAGCCCTGTCTGCCTCGTAGGGACACAGAGAAGAGCTGACTCCATGCTGACTCCATGCAACATGGATTCAAATCTAAGAGTGCCCTCAGATCTCTATCTTGCACCGTTCTGCATTACCTCTATCTAATCTACCAATCACTTTGTGTGTAAGTGCGTACACATATTTATACATAAATATAAACCCCAGGCACACATTTTTATCCTCAAGTAATAAAATGTAATGGAAGAATTTACAGTCATGGGCTATAAAGCAATAACAGTCATAAAACCATTTAACAGGGTTCAGATGCAGGTGAAAGGAGAAGTTCATAAGTTCAGCATCTGAATATATTTCCCTGTAATCTCCCCCACAATCAGCCAGTCCCAGACTGGCATGATGCAAGTGATGAAAGTCCTGGAACAGTCTCAATGGCTCATGCATTAGATTTTCTAAGACCTGGTTTGCTTTTTCTTTATAAAGAGTATTTTATGTAGTCTAACGTGTCCAGTTAAACAATGCTGCAGATATGAGTTCTCTGCCCATAGAAGGGATTCAGCATGGGTGGCCACTGTGAAAGCCTGCTGATGCAGAAGAACATCAGGACAATAAGGACCCTTCCTCCAGTACTAGCAGTGGTAGAGTCATAGGACACTAGAACTGGAAGGGCCCTCGAGAGATCATCAAGTCCAGTCCCCTGCCCTCACAGCAGGACCAAGCATGGTCTATATCATCAATGACAGGTGTCTGTCTAACCTGCTCTTGAATATCTCCAGTGATGGAGATTCTACAGCCTCCCTAGGCAATTTATTCCAGTGTTTAACCACCCTGACAGTTAGAAGCTGTGGTGGAGACAGGGCTCAGGAGCCCTTTCTTCCCTGAAGTAAAAATAGATGACATGGTAAGTTGTGTCTATGCATAGGTGCTGGAATTACCGGGGGTGCTGCTGCCCCTGACTTGAAGTGGTTTCCCTTATATACAAGGTTAACAGTTTGGTTCAATGACTCTCAGCAGCCCTACTATACAAATTGTTCCAGCACCCTGGTCTCTACTCCACCATTTCTACCACTAGTAACTACTAGTTGGCAGACATAATGGCTTAGCTGGGTGTGAGGCAGGTCACCATGAAGAAAAATGAGAACACCAGGCTCCCACCTAAGGCCTTGGGCACATGGTCCTTGTGTTTACATTGTTTGTTGAGCCAAAGAGTAAAGAATTGTGATCCAACTCAAATCTAGGCCATCTATTTGGCATGAAAGCTCAGATCACAAGGCTGATTCCAAATTGCAATTTTAACCCACAGATGGTTCTGTCCTTCCCACTACATCTCACCCCAAAGACAATGAACAATCACAAATGAATCCCTGGAGAATTCAGTGTCATGTTGCTATCAAGTTCCTTGTCTTCATTATTTAATATTCAAGCTGAACTTTGTCTTGCTGCTTTATCAAATAAGTCATATTATTCATTGGATAAGATAATTATGAAATGAAGCATAGGGCAAAGTTATGTTTTAGAAAAGAAATTGGTAGAACATGTGAGAAGTACCCCTATACTTTCTGTATCTTTTGGTAACAAGCACAGTTTCTGGTTCTTCTAGGAACATGGTTCATTAGGATGGAAAAAAGGAAAAGGTTATGGTTAAAATTGAGTAGATTTTTTTCCACAAAAATTTGCCAAAAATGCATTTTTTTGTGTTGGGGTGGGGCAAGGAAGCTATTCTCACATTTCAGTCAAATTTGGCAAATGATTTTTGTGAAAAATAGAACAGAACCAAAACTGAAAAATTTCAAAAAGTGCCAAACAGTTCATTTAAAACATGCTTTGAATTAACATTCAAAATGTTTTGTTTGGCCAGAATGAATCTCCCTTCCCCCCCCTCGAGTTTTGTTTTGTTGGGAAAATGTAACTAAGGTTTGAAAAGAACTGAATTCCCCCAATGTTGATTTGGCCATCAAACCATCCATTATTCACACAAGTCTGCCTAAGATGGATACCATGTGTGTGCCTTGTCATTCACTAAGGCCTCAGCACTTTTTAAGTTTCATCACCTTTATGATCTAAATTTCTTACAGAAAATCAGAACATTGTTTCTGAAGGGACCACAGCTACTTTTTACCAAACCTCTATTGAGCAATTGATCCTTTTTCTGGGAATATAAGATTTGCTTTAGCAGAAGAGATCAGTGGCCCACCCTGGCCTTGTCTCTTCTCTCTTACAATAGCTCATATTTGACCTATACCAGTTACACATTTCACACCTCACTCTTGAAAGAGGCTGACATTTCATTACCGTCATATGTTCAGCATCCCTGAATCCCCACTGAGCTCCAACAGATATCACAAAAGTTAATTTGTTAACAAAATCCAATTAATCCTCCTGCTCATATATGCACATGATTGTTCCCCACATACTGTTATGCTTCAGAGTGTGGCAACTGCTGAAAGCTGCATTCTGATAGACTGGCAAGGGTTTTTTTTTTAATGATATCACAGTCTGACAGCAACTCACAATGGTGCATAGTTGAGATCTCATCACTTTATATTTTAAAAGTAACCCTCTGCTCACTGTGTTTAAAGGATTTTCTTTGTATATACTTCCCATAGTCAACCTTTCTTTTTAAAATGTGCGGAAAAAAAATCTATGAAGTTTTAGCTGCAAAGGCAAATAAACATATAACTGATTTTCTGTCTTTCTCTCCCTACAGTTGCATTCCTTCCTTCCCCCATATGCTCTGTGTCATCTCTTACTTTGGCTCAATCTCCTGACAGGAGTTGCTTTTCTCTGTTGAGCCATATCTGAGCGGCAGGGCTTTGCAATAGGAGGAGCTGGGTCATACTGTGGGCACAGATAAGGAAAAGAGAATGCATTATTGAGAAGCATCTTAAACTGTCCCTACGTCTCAGCAACCAGAAAGCCTCTTCTAAAAGTGCTCTCTCTCTCTCTCTCTCTCTCTCTCTCTCTCACGCTCTTTAAAACAACATTGCTAGAAGAGGCAAAGTCAAGCACTCAAAAGCTAGGAAATCCAGAATTAAAAGTGTCTGTACATTATTCATTTGACACCCCCCAAAACACACATATGCAGGCTTTAATGTCATAATTACACACTATTTTCCTTTCCATTGGACACTTGCTAAATCCTTGACACAAATGGCATTTTCCTGCCAACTTTCAACGTTCCAGCTCCCAACGTTCTGGGGTAGCTAGAATGTTTTAAACAAAAATGTCTCAAGACTTTTGAAACAATAGGGAAAACTATCCCCTCCTTAGCACTGATCTTGGGAACAGATGTGGAAATGCCATTTTGGCTGAAATTTTCCAAAAAGATTCAGCCTCAGAGAGAAACCTGACATGGAAAATTTCAGCCCAAATAGAGTTTCCTAAAGTTATAAGCAGCTGAAAGCAGTATTGTAATGGGAACTGTCAGACAACCTTAATAAATAGGTAGAACTACCAGCCCCACATATAGGACACATCTATAAGCAGCTTGGTTGTTAAATTTGTAGGTACAGAACACTTATTGAGATGAAGTGAGAATTTACTGTAATATTTCTATGAACTCTAGGCACGCCTCAGTTTCCCTTTCTACACTGCATTGCAGCCCAGTTGGTGCAAACACTGCTCTTGGAACAGTGCTGTAGTGTATATGGGCCGCCTTGCTGTCTCGGGGTGGGATGGGGGAATGAATACAGTAATTAAAGAATTAGCACAAACTGACTCACATTAACAGACAGTCCAGAAAGACAAAAAGGTCCTAATGAGTGAACTATCAATACATAACTGCAGGAAAACTGCAGCAGATGGGACTTGTATGGCCCCTACTGATTTTTCTGAGAGTCAGTGGCCCCTGACCCAAAAAAGGTTCCCCACCCCTGGTGTAGAGAGACAGGGATGGGAGGCATTCAAGGTCCAATCAGAATCATGGAGGATACAGGCCTGCCTGGTGGAAATGTCAGAGTCCTGACACAATAAAGGGGACTAAATGATTTTTTTTTTTTGGCTTGGGGGATGAACCAAAAACAAATAAATCATTTGGCGTCAAGTGAAAAATCATTTCCCCTTAACTCCCACCCCCCAAAACCCACAAAAGAACAATAAAAATTCATTTTGGGCTGAACAAAATGCTTTGTTCTAAATTATTTCTGGATGTTTTTTTGAAATGAAAAGTTGAAACATTTTTGTTTTGAAAAACAAACATTCGTGGCTTTTTCAGATTTTCCTCCTTTCCTCCTTTTTTTTTGGTCTAAAAGTATGTTGAGATTGACTTGAATTATTAAGGTTTCAGTCAACCTAAAACTGCATTTTGGCAAATAAGCTATAATAAGCTATTCCCTGAACATACTTTGCCCAGCTCAATTCCTGAGCACAGCTCAGTCATGAGAATGATTAAAGGATTAGAAAACATTCCTTATAGCGACTGAACTCCTTGAGTCTATCTATTTCACTTAACAAAGAGAAGGTTAAGGACTGACTTGATTACAGTCTGTAAGTACCTACAAGGGGAACAAATATTTAATCATGAGCTCTTTAGTCTAGCAGAGAAAGACTAACACAATGCAATGGCTGGAAGTTGAAGCTAGACAAATTCAGACTGGGAATAAGGAACAAGTTTTTGACAGAGAGAGTAATTAACCACAGGAACAACTTACCAATGTTTGTGGTAGTGTCTCCATCATGGATGTTTTCCAAAGAGATTTGATCAAGGAATTATTTAAGGCCTGTATTATATAGAAGGTCAAACTAGATGATCATAATGGTCCCTTCTAGTCTGGAAGTCTATGAAGCCCTCTACTTTATTCTCCCCCAAAGCCTCCATCTTCCATTGCAACTTGCACAGCACTCCATTATGATCACTGCCAATCCAGATTTCAACCACCTGGAAATGAGCTCTGGGATTTTTCTTTTAGCTGTCATTCTCTTCTTCTCCAGCCCACTATTTTCTCTGTTTTCTGGAAGACAAAAAAAAAAAAAGGGAGACAGAAAGGATGATGGTCCAATGGGCAATCCAGAAGTAAATCTGAGGCTTTTAGATTTCCTCCTGAGGGCAGACATAAAGAGGCCCTATGATGTGCAGGGTTCTTATATCTGGAGGTTTGGTTTTCTTCTCTGAACTACCCTAAGGGCTTCTCTACATGGACAGCACAGCTTTAGAGTTTAGTGGAGATGTTGTCTATGCCAACAGGAGAGCTTCTCCACCTCGCCAAAAAGCAGTAGCTATTCCTGTCCACATAGTACTCCCTACACTGGGCGCTAGATTGATATAACCACAGCCTGGTGTACATGACAGAGTTAGGCAGTGCTTAATTTGTAATGAAAGAGGTGCCAGGGCTCAAGCAATTTTTCTTTTTAACTTTTGTAAATGACACCGCAATTAACACATGCCAGGTTTATGAACTACCAAGCCTACAGGTGTTAGGGACCAGCTTTGGCACAAGTAAAGCACAGGAGTTAGGTTGATGTAAGGCAGCTTATATTGACCGAATTCTGTGAGAGTCTGCCCTCATTTGTAGCTTCCACAGATGTAACTTGCCCACTCCCCCAACTTAATAATTGCACCTCTGTAACAGGTACAGCACTAGTGTCTCCATTTTGAGGTGCAGACATTTCTTATATCGATTGCTGATGGCTTTCAGAAACCATCCCACAATGGCCCATGCTGGCCGTTAAATCTGTGCAAATGCTTCTTCTGAGGATGCACATTATAGACACAAGGAACATAGTGTGGCCGTGTAAAACTGATTCAATTATTACAGTGACTGTCAACATAACTTAAGCTGACTTAATTTTGTAGTGTAGACTTACCCTTCGCCTCTCCACCCCCGTGCATGAAGTAGTTATTCTGACATACGGTAGTAATTTAGACCAGGGCTACAACTATGCCAGTGGAAAGTTTTTCTGATGATGCCAGGATCCCCCTGTAGGCTTTGTTGACATTACCCAGAATCAGACAGTCTTTGGGTGAGGAAAACACATAACTAAAATCCCTCTCCATTTAGGGTAAGTTGTGACTGGTGTGAGCAGCATTAACCCAAGGATGACAGTTCTGTAGGCAAAGGCCAAAGGCCTAGTACTTTGTTGTATATAGATGAAGTTACACTGAAGAGATATTCACACCAATAGAAACCTTGGCCTCATATCTTTTACCCACTCCTCAAACTCTCACAACTTTGAATTGAGAATCTGTCTCCGGCACCATTCTTCTCCTGTTGCTGTTTGCGTGTCAGCCCTGTTTCCCGCTCTCTCTCATGACGATGCCTTTGCTCTGGGCCTGTTTTTTCTTCGGAGGTGGTGACTAGCTTCCTGCAGGAAGCCAGAAGCCCACCAAACACAACCCTGAAGAAGAAAAGGAGTGGAGGCTGCCATGTTGCATGTGCTCCTGGCAATAAAATGTTACCTTTCAGCAAAGTTTGTTTTCTCCTGGGATTGCTGAATAGCAGAGGTATAGATCCAATGAAACATATGGTGCCCTAGCACAGGGACCTCTTGCGGGGGAGCCCAGCTTTGGTGGGGGGCAGCGCCTCTTCAGAAAGTGTTGTAGGGAATGAGGGCAGGAGAGCAGGGAGGCTCACCTGCAGGCTGCAGCCTCAGGAGAGCCATCAGGAGATGGTGAGAAGTGCAAACGTGGGCTGGAAGGCTTCAGAGGAGCGCAGGGCAGCTGCACAGCCAGCTGAAGAAAAGCAACGCTTTGAAGCAGGAAAGCACTGTTTCTCCTCGACCATAAGCTGTACAGCTACCCCAGAGCTCCTCTGAAGCCTTCCAGGTCACGTGTGTGCTGTTGGCCACCACCTGGGGAATGGGTGAGGGGGGAAAACGGCCGGGGGATGGAGAGCCCAGGGCAGTGTGGGGAGACACAAGTGGCGATTGAACTGCCCCTCCCCCTTTAGGTAGAGCACATGTGGATCTCTGCCCAATTCTCCAGGCCAGCCAGTGCAGGGCCACTAGGGCACCTGAAGTTGTCCTCTGCAGCCATTAGCTTGCTAATGGTACAAACAATATTTGTAAAGATCATTAAGTAGTTCACAGAGACCCTCAAAGAGCTCTTTCAGAAAAAGGCTTCTTCCTCATAGAAAGAGGTTGGAAAACCCCCCTCTGTTTTTTTATTTTTTTCCAAAACAACGCAATGGCAGTGTGAATGTAAGTGAAGTTTTTTCGCAAAAATGGCCATTTTTCAAAAAAAACCTCTGTAGTGTAGACATAGCCTCAGTTTGAGCAAAGTTCCTTCAGAGTAAGAAACAGGACTGAAGATGAAATAGAGAGATGTCCAAGGCCTTCTATATCTTTTGCCATATGGAGGGAATCCCATGGTTCTTGCTATGGAAAAGTACAGCAACAAGATGGTGTGTGAAGTCTCATGGGCAAGTCACTTGTCTGTGCAGGATTCAGTTCTTTACAGGTTGAAAGTCAATTCAGTTTAGTCAGGTGCCACGCATGCTTCTTAATGAGCCAATCCACTTGAATAGTCTTTCCCAGACATGCTGACTAGATACATTGTGGGTGTTACTACAGAAGCCAACATTTGAAACACAGGTACAAAATTAATGCCCATATCTTCAAGTACAAAGATACTATAAGTCCACAAATGGCATAACCAGTAGACCAGAACTTTTCTAATAATATCTCACCTGGCAACATTTGTATAAAACTTGTGACAAATTGGAGTAGGGGTTGCAACAGTGATCTATACGGTCTTATTCTAATCAGATAACATCACACCAGGTCAGATCAGTAGTACAGTTATTTATCTTAGGTCCTTCTCTCAGCTCCTCAGGCTTTAATGTATTTCTCCTCACAACAATCCCGTGAAGCAAGGCAGTGCTATCAACCCCATTTTAGAGAGACTTAAATTGCTAGAGCACCACAGATGCAGTGTTTCAGTGTAGACACTACTTACACCAATGCGAGGCATTCCCCAGTTGGTGTAAGTAATCCACCTCCTCAAGAGCTGGTAGCCAGAAGAATTCTTTCATTGTCCAAGCACTGTCCACACCAGACTCTAGAAAATTATTGCAAAAAGGGATCTAGAGGTCATAGTGGACCACAAGCTAAATATGAGTCAACAGTGTGACACTGTTGCAAACAAAGCAAACTTGATTCAGGGGTGCGTTAACACGAGTGTTATGAGCAAGACACGCAAAGTAATTCTGCTTTACTGTGTGCTGATTAGGCCTCAGTTGGAGTATTGTGTACAGTTCTGGGCACCACATTTCAAGAAAGATGTGGCAAAACTGGAGAAGTTTAGAAAAGAGACAACTGAGAGGGGACATGATAGTAGTTTTCAAGTATTTAAAAGGGTGCTACAAGGAGGAGGAAGAACAATTGTTCTCCTTGACCTCTGAGGATAGAACAAGAAGCAATGGGCTTAAATTACAGCAAGAGAGGTTAGATGGACGTTAGGAAAATCTTCCTGACCACGTGGCTAGACACTGGAATAAATTGTCTATGGAGGTTGTGGAATCTCCATCTCTGGAGATATTTACGTGCAGGTTAGACAGACATCTATCAGGGATGGTCTAGAGACGGTAGACCATCTCTACCGTCCTGCTGTGAAGGCAGGGGACTGGACTTGATGACCTCTCAAAGTCTTTTCCAGTTCTAGTGTTCTATGGTTCTATGAATTCTTGCAGAGGTGTGGATTTTTCATATCCCCAAGATTCAGCTATGTTGATGTAAGTTCCCAGTAGTGATCAGTCCTAAATCATAGACTCATGGGGTTGGAAAGGATCACAAAAGACATCTAATCTAACCCCCTGTCAAGATGCAAGATTCATTTTATCTAAGTGACTTGTTCAAGGCCTCACAGGATATCGACCCCAAGTCTTTTATTCGCCAGATTACATTTCTAACCAGTGGGACATCCTTCTTCAGTCCAATGCCCTGTTTCTAGCAGCAATCAGTACTCAAAATTAAAATTCAGAAGAAGGTGTAAGAACATCCTAAATGAACAATAATGGAATAAACTGCCCTGGGGCATTTTCCTTTCTACTCCCCCTCTCCTTGCCTCAATCAGTGATTGTCTATGTCCTGAAGCATGTGGTTTTATATCCTTTATATTTTGAGTCCTGTCTAATATGACTAGGGATAATCTTACATCTAACCAGTGTCTATCCTTTTTAATTAGCATTTAGAATGTTTTCAGTATCTTTTAAAAAAATCCATTGAGATATATAACTTTAAAGAAGTGAGCATGATTTTCTGAAAAAGGAAACCTATCAGAATATGAATGGGCACATGCAGTGGTGTTTCTTGGGTAATTTAAACTAATTGCCATTTACTGCATTAGGGGAGTTGAGACAATCTGTCAGTATACCACAGAGTGATACAAATTAAAAATGGAAAAGAGCTATAGTGTTAAAACACAACTTGTCATTAGTCTCACCACTGGCCCCAGACGTTGGTGCCTTTATAACACATTCTACCTTCCAGTACTTTGTTTGTCCACTTTCCATTTCAAGGAATTCTGAAGCACTGACTTCACCCATACTAAGAATAGGAGACTATCCTCTTGATCAGTGGAAAAGGGTGGGGAAGAGACAGCTGACGACAGGTACTATTATGAGATCATGGGCAAATAGACTCTGCAATATAGACTAAGATTACTCATGCCAGTGGTCTCCAACCTTTTTGAGCACGAGATCACTTTTTGAATTTAAGTGCAAGTCCAAAAGCTACCTCAAATATAAATACCTTTGCCCCACCTCCTTCCTGCCTCTTCTCATTCCATCCTCCCTCTCTTGCCCATCCTCACTCACTTTCATCAGGCTGGAGCAGAGGGTTGGGGTGCAGGCTCTGGTCTTGGATTAAGGGATCTGGAGTGTGAGAGGGGCTCTGAGCTGCTCTTGGGGCAGGCAATTGGGATGTGGGAGGGGGTTCTAGGAGAAGGTTCTGGGAGGGTGTTTGGATGCAGGATTGCTTGGGGCAGGGGCTTGGAGTGCAGGAGGGGGTTCATGCC